ATATATTTATGTTTGTGGTTGTAATGTGACAAAATATGGAAAAGTTCAAGGGGTATGAATACTTTTGCAAACCACTGTATATCCGTTTGTGTGCCTTTGTGTGTAATAAGACGCTGTGTGAAACTTGGACATAGTTCAAGAGGACTTTCTTAGAGGCCTCAATCCACTCCAATGCAAAATAATTCATAGCCAATGAATGATGGCTAAAGTCTTCGTTTTAACAACCAAAAAGTTTAAAAACTCATCCTCAAAAGGAGTTTTGGCATCATAAGTGGTAAAAATCACTGGTTTGGTTCTAGATTTAAAAACAGACCCACCGTCAGTGGGGGGATGTAACAAAGTACAAGTACTTTGTTGCTGTACTTAAGTATATTTTTCATATATCTGTACTTTACTTAAGTAGATTTTATCCTGGGTATTCTGACTTTTACTTCATTACATTTTATATTAATTTTCTGTACTTTCTACTCTACTACATTTCCGTAATGCGCTGAATTACAAATTAAATGCAAGTCATGTCACATTACGTTTTTTATTTGTTTGTTTAGTTTGAAAGTAATAAACAGTGAGAGGGGAATTGCTGTAATTGGCCCAATGAACCACTGTAAAGCAGAAGAGTACCATGAGACCTTCAAGAAAAAGCAGAGCTATTCTGCATCACCTGCTGGAGTGTCAGCAGCAGCACACTCAAAATGGATTCCACCATGGAGAAAATGTGCCACTCATGGCCTTATTCAAAAGACGTATTCAAGTTAATAGATTCAAAAAAGTGACTTGTTGAGATTTGATAAAGAACGTCGTTGGTGGCGAATCTACAGTTTCTGTAGCTGTTGTCACAATCTCTGATGATGCACAGAATCACAAGTCCAAGTATGAACAGTGTCACAGAGGCTAAACACAAAAACATGCATTTTCTGCACCATTGTTCACTATAATGGAACTCCATTGATGTATTAAAAATATACATACAGTAGGCACAATAGCGTTGGGCAAAATTGGCAAAAAAATAATCACGATTAATTGTGGTATTTAGCCAATAATGATTAATTTGACGATTAATCCCCTGAAGTCCCTGGACACCCTTATGTCCTAGTCACATGACCAATTTAGTGGGAAAGATTTGCTCTTGAAAAATCTGTCCCACATTGTGTCAAAATTAGTCTTCAGGCTGTACATCAAATTTTAAATTGTGTTGTTAAATAAATGAATTACAGAGCTATTTTTTTAAACGTTTGTCATATTTGAAGCAGAGAGGTGCACCGAGAGGACTTTGCCTGGTGGCATTAATCGTATTAATCGTCAAATGCCAAAAAATAATTGTTTTTCTGACGATAAACTGCAAACGATACAATTATGCCCAACTCTAAGGCACACTTCATGATATTGTAGACCATTAGGGAATACATTAAACAAGTACTTTTACTTTTAATACTTTAAGTATTTTTGAAAAGCAAGTTCTTAGTTTACTCAAGTAAAAATGTTAATGCGGTAATTTCACTTTTACTAGAGCACATTTTTGTCTGTTTATCTGTACTTTTACTTAAGGGGTGTTTGAGTACTTTCTCCACCACTGCCACCAGAGGCACCCGCCATCTTGTCTTGACCTCCCTGTATTTCTGTATTAGTTTATCACATTTAGTCAGTTGTACACATAGTACTTTTCAGTGTTTATAAGAGTTAAATGTTTAAACAGTTTCTATGCAGGAAATACCACGTAGAGCTCATTTATTGCTTGCTAGTGGGGCTCAGGAACGTAGTGCAGTGTTTAGTTACATTTAGACACAAACATCAAATTGATTTATAACTGGCCCTTTCTGTTACGATTGAGCTTGGTTGGTTAGAACCCCAAGATGCAGAACTGAGTGAGGTGGCAAAAAGGTGATTTATTAAAACAAAAACAAAGGGGCTGACGTGGCAGCAAACAAGAACAAGGGATTTGGGCAGGAACATGAACATCAGAGAACAAGGATCTGACAAAGACTGAGGACAAAGGACAGAATATAAAGGAAGAACTAATGAGGTAAAACAAGAAACACCTGGGGAAGAAACATGAGGATCAGGTGTGAGTGGGCGGGATGAGAGCAAAGGCAGACAGGAGGAAGAAAACAGGAGGAAAAGACAGAAAAACTTAGAATAAATCATAAGCACAGACACAAATCATGACACTTTCAGGACCATGCTCATATGGCCCTCAGTGAAAATGAGTTTGACCCCCTTATCTAACAGGTCTGACTGATGAGTGGTTGGATGTACAGATGGATGTGAGATCTGCTGACTGGTGAAGGCAGTTTGATGCAGGATTTAGTTGGAGGTATCAGAGGAAACAGGGTGAATATTAATCCACAAGAAACATGAAAAACCATCTATTATTTTATGCTCTACTTTGAGATGGTCTGACACACAAAGCTACAATTTTGTGGTTTAACAAACTGTTCTGTGATTTAAACAGGATCAAATCTGTAAAAGTGACAGAATGTCCCTTTAAACTAATTATGAAGTCAGATGTGTTGAGTCAGAAACATCAGAGACATGTTGAAGTTTAAAACACATGATTTTAATACTTCATTCTTTCATACATTTGAACTTTTTAAAAATCACTGCTAAAATATAATTTGAGCTCAAATGTGAGTTTAAATAATCAGAGCACAAATATACAAAAAACTGTCAACTCTGAAAAGTCATTTTAAAATGTTCCCTAACCTTCAGTTAAAATACAGAAGAAGTGAGAAATATCCCCAAAGAACCAGGCCTGAAAAACCAGAGGGATGAAAATGGGAGATTCTGATTCAAGACCAGAATCCAGTCCTTTTCTTCTCATGACTCACAGTCCCAGCTGCTGCATGATGACCCACAAAAACAAACACTGGAAAAACCCAGAGTCTTCATCATCATCACTGAAGATCCTCCGTCAATCATCTGGTTCTGTAACACACTGCTCCACGATCTCTCTCAGGTTAGGGTTCTCCATGGCAGCTGCGACACGCTCCTTGTCATTAATCTGTTTATTAACTGAAGACATAAACAATTTGCTTATTAACGGGAGTTATAAACAACCAGTTTATTAAGCACAGTTATAAACAACCACTTTATTAACCACGGTTATAAACAACCACTTTATTAACCACAGTTATAAACAGCCTGTTCAATAACCACAGTTATAAAAAACCACTTTATTAACCACAGTTATAAACAGCCTGTTCAATAACCACAGTTATAAAAAACCACTTTATTAACCACAGTTATAAACAGCCTGTTCAATAACCACAGTTATAAAAAACCACTTTATTAACCACAGTTATAAACAGCCTGTTCAATAACCACAGTTATAAAAAACCACTTTATTAACCACAGTTATAAACAGCCTGTTCAATAACCACAGTTATAAAAAACCACTTTATTAACCACAGTTATAAACAGCCTGTTCAATAACCACAGTTATAAAAAACCACTTTATTAACCACAGTTATAAACAGCCTGTTCAATAACCACAGTTATAAAAAACCACTTTATTAACCACAGTTATAAACAGCCTGTTCAATAACCACAGTTATAAAAAACCACTTTATTAACCACAGTTATAAACAGCCTG